CTCGTTGTCCTGTTGTTGTTGTAGAGACGGGGTCTCACTCTGGCTCGTTTGGCTCAGGGGGGTCTTGGCTGGTCTCGAACCTCTGAGCACAGGTGATCCACCCGCCTCGGCCTCCCATAGCGCTGGGACTACAGGCGTGCGCCACCACGCCTGGCCGAGAAATCTCCTTTCTTTCTGTAAAGGTTGTACTAGTCCACCAACATCATGTGAGTGTTCCCTTTTCTTCACGTCCATACCAGCCTCTGTTACTTTGGAATATTTTGATGTGGGCCATCCTCACTGTGGTTAGGCAATATCTCAAAGTGATTTTGATTTATATTTCTTTGATAATTAGAGAAGATGAACATTTTTTCATGTATTTGTTGACCATTCATCTGTATTCATAAGGAAATATTCTGTTTGTGTCTCTTACCCAGTTTTTAATGGGATTGTTTGCAACTTTCCTGTTGATATATGTCAGTTCACTGTAGATTCTAGTTATTATACTTTTGTCAGATTTGTAGAATGGAAATAGCTTCTCCCACTCTGAAGATTGTCTCTATGCTGATTGTATCCTCAGTTGTGCAGAAAGTTTTTAACTTGATCATGTCCCACTTATTTGTTTGTTGTTGTGATTGCCAATGGAATCTTTTAAATAAATTCTTATCCTAGGCTGATGAAATTCAGAGATTTTCCCACACTTTCTTCTAAGGCTTTTATAATTCCATGTCTTAGATTTAAATCTTTGTTCATGGTGAATTAATTTTTGTAAGTCGTGAGAGGTAAGGCTCCAGTTTCAGTGTTTTATATGTGGCTAACCAGTTCTCCTAGCACCCTTTATTAAACAGAGATTCTTTTCCTCAGTGTATACTTTTGTTTGCTTTATTGAAAATAAGATGGTGATATAATATCCAGGCTCCCTGTTCAGATCCATAGTTCTATGTCTCCATTTTTATATCAATACCGTGTTTTTTTTTTTTATCACTATGGACTTGTAGTATAACCTGAAATCTGGTCCATGATGTCTCCAGATTGTTTATTTTCATAAAAGTGTGCCAACTATATGAGGTATTTTTCTGGTTCTATATAATGCATAGAACAGTTTTTCAAGATCTTCAACGTATGATATTGATATTTTAATAAGGATTTCACCAAATTTGTAGATTGCTTTGTATTTTTCTGGTTCTATACAATGTATAGAACAGTTTTTCAAGATCTTCAACATATGATATTGGTATTTTAATAAGGATTTCACCAAATTTGTAGATTGCTTTGTATAGTGTAGACATTTTAACAATGTTGATTATTCCCAGCCATGAGCATGATATATTCTTCCATATGTTAAATTTTATGTTATTTCTTTTCTCAGTATTTCATAGTTCTCTTTGTATAGATCCTTTACATCCTTTGTTAAATATACCAGTTCATTTTTCTTTTCCATATTTGGCAAATTGTTTTCTCTAAAAACAAAATGAAAACAGAAACAAAAATGACCTGTAATAGACTACAGAATTTCTGAATATTTACATAAACCCTTTTCTACTAATAAAATATCTTAAAGTAAATCATAATTATTAAACTATAAAGGTTTGAGATGATTGAGATGCTAACTACCTTCATTTGACTATTATACACTGTGATTGTTAAAACCTCACACTGTAGCCCATAAACATGTACAATTATGTGTGTGACAACTATGAACTAAATAGATTTTAAGAATTCTCAAAACATAATTATTTTTGTTTTGGCTTATTGACATAAAATTTTATTATTCAATATATCTATTCTTTTTCATCATATTTTATGTAGTATCTGTTCATTATTTTAATAGCCAAAACTACTAAGTTTTCTATGTTTACAAAACTTCCTCTTGTATTTCTCCTATAAAGACATGGATTGGGAATCGAAGAAGGAAATATCGTTTGATGGGGATTGAAGTTCCACCTCCAAGAGGAGGTCCTGCTGATTTCTCTGAGCAGCCCCAGGCTGGTTCGCTGTCTGCACTCACACGAGGAGAGGAAGCTAGGCCAGAAGTAGGAGAGGATAATGACAGAAATGATGAAGTATCCATCTCTTTGTCTGAAGGAAGTTCTCAAGGTACTTTATACGCTGACCCTCCTAATAACAGCCTTTGTAAATTTGATGCTTTTTTTACTTGCTTTTCAGCTCACTGCAATTCAAATCTAGTCTTTAAAATATTAAGCCAAACATTTGAAAGTAAATATATATTTTTTGGTTGATAACTTAATTTTTTATTCTTCTTCAGGATTTGAAAAATAAAAATAAAATTATTATAAATCTATATTCATGGAAATCAATATATGTATATAGTAGTAGTCACATAAATGACAACAAGGAGCCTCAGGTATAAAGACAAAACACAAGAATCACCAGATATTTAAGAAAAGTAGCATCTTGAAAGTGTGAATAAACTCAAAGTCAAGAAACCTGAGTAAATAGAGTTAATAGGGCACCAAAAAGCCTTTTTAAATGTCATAATTATTATCTTCACAGGTATAAGAGAAGACAATATACTCACAAATGAGAAGAATTCCATATTAAAAAAAGAACTACTTGAGCATCTTTTAATTATAAACATAAACTTTAAAGCCTAAAGATATAAATATATAAATTACAAGTAGAAGAATGAAACAACTAATGACTGTATTAGAAAGTAGAATGATTAAAAATTAAGCAATCTTACATCATATACTGCAAAAGACAGAAAATAAAGAGATATAGAAAATAGCTCCATAAACTCCAAAATAATTATGGTAGATGTTGCAGAATTGCAGAATAAGAGGACAAAAAAGTCAAGAAGGAGAAATACCAAAGGAATAGTAGAAGGAAATTTCCCCCTAAAACATTTTTAATGCCTCCACTTACACAGTCTGACACATCAAGTCATCACAAAGAATGTTAATCTACCACAATAATAATCTCCCACATTTAGAAATATTGGTTATAACAACTAATACATTAGAATCAAGTAAATGATTATTTTTATTTTATTGAAATTGTAGTCAATTTATGTTAGAGCATTATAAATACATTGTAATGATAGAACATATGGTATAATATTATGAACACCAGGTTAGTATCCAGAAAACCTGGATACAACTTCTAGCTTTTGCATTTGCTGCTTATGTGACTTTGAGCAAAGCATTTTAATTCATTGAGTTTTAGTTTTTTTTATCTGCAAAAAATAATTAAACTGAATCATCTTTATAATCTTTCTGAGTGTTTCCCTAAATAAAAATTAAAATAATACCATCGAGGTACACCATTTGTCTATCAGCAGTATCTTTCATTTGCATTCAAGCATAGAAACATTTATTTTCTAGTCATCTTTCTTATTAACACTTTTATTAAGGTTTAATTTACATATAAAAACTAACCATTTTAAATATACAATTCAATGATTTTCAGCAAATTTTGTAGATTTGTACAATCATCACCATCACTAAAATCCAGTTTTAGATGATTTTCATCACTCCTGTAACTCCATTGAGTTCATTTGCAGTCAATCTCCCCCTAATCTCAGCTCCAGAAACACTGATCTGCTTTCTGATCATATAAAATTGTCTTTTCTGGGTATTTTATATAAATTAAATCATAATAGCCTTTTTGCATCTGTAAGTGAAAATTGGAGGAAGAATCAATCATTTTCCCATTTCTTTTTCTTTTATCCAGTCCTATTTAGGATAGTAGAGCTATATTTTCCAGTTCATTGTTTCCTTTATAATTTTGCTTATGGTGTTTTCTGATGCTGGAATTTTTGTTTATAATTGGTATGTTGTCATGTCTACCAGTACTTTCCTTCCTGGCTTCTAATTCTGGTGTCATGATTACAAAGTCCTTCCTTGTACTACAGTTGTGTAACCATATCCTTATAGTTGCCTCTGGTATCCTTATGGCTTCATTTTTAGAAGTTTACATTATTTCACATAATATTTATTTTGCTTTAAGGTGTAGGAAAAAGGCTCAGTGCCTGTAGCTCAGCTGATAGGGCGCCGGCCACGTACACTGGAACTGGCGAGTTCAAACCTGGCCAGGGCCTGCCAAACAACAATGACAACTACAACAAAAAAAATAGGAAGGCATTGTGGTGGGCTCCTGTAGTCTCAGCTACTTGGGAGGCTGAGGCAAGAGAATCACTTAAGCCCAAGAGTTTGAGGTGCTGTGAGCTGTGATGCCATGGTACTCTACCAAGGGCAACATAATTTTTCTCAAAAAAAAAATGTATGAAAAAATACCTAATTTTATTCACACAAATGGTTAACCATTTCAGTTGTTCCTACAGTATTTATTGAATAATCCATCCTTTTTTCCAGTGAATTTAAATGTAGTTTTAAATCAAATATATGCACACATTTGTAAGGGTACATATATAGATATACATGTGAAAGCACGTACAGGTGAATCAAATTCTGCTTATATGTAAATATACATGTGCAGACATACACATGAGGATCAAATTCCAGATTTCCTATTAAAGTACATGGATCTGATTATTTGTAATTGTGCCTTTAAAAAGTCTTAATATTTCACGGTGCTCTCATTTTTCTTCTTAGCTGTTGCAGCACGTTGGTTCTTTAGAATTGTTTAGTCATAGCTTTTCCTAATCTTCTTTCCCCAGATCTAGTCTAGCTTGTCCTAATCTTCTTTCCCGAGATCTAGTTAATATAACATTAAATTGATAAGAGATGTAGGGATATAAATTGAATTTTATATTTATTTCATGTTTTTAAATTTTTAATTATTCTGGGTACATAATAGCTGTGTATTTTTATAGGCCACATGGAATGTTTTGATACTTGTACAAAATGTGAATTAATCAAATAAGAGTAATTAGGTATCTGTCACCTCATTGTAGATGGTGGGACAACACATATGTAGAGCTGTACAGTTGATAGTATGGGTATGGAATTCAGAAGAAGTATTAAAACGTGAGAAGAAAAGTGGGAGTGACCCATGCAGAGTCCAAAAACATCTAACCACAGAAATAGAAGGTTTAGTTAAGTGAAACACTGAAAACTGAGTAAAGACAATGGAAAAGGGCTGCTTGTTGATCATTATCCAAATTTAGGGGCTAGGGGAAAGCAGTAGCCATTGAGGGACCTAAGCAAGATAGCAGAATTGAGACAGCCTCTTTGCAGGTGTGTCAGGTGAGATTGGGGAGAAAAGACTCCAAGGACCATTGTGGTGCTCTGCCCACAATCATCACTTGAGGAGCACAGGGAGGCAGCAGAAGACTTCAGGGCCCCAAGAAGATGACAGAAGCAGTGGAGAACCAGCAAGTACTTGGATATTGGCATAGTTGGAGACAGTTTACAGAGAGAAGGTCTGTCCTGTGGTTTTGTTGTTGTTGTTTGTTTGTGTGTTTATTTTGGACTTGGGCACTTGGGTGAGTTACCTTAGGAGAGCTTGGGTGAACAAGCAGGAGATTTTGAACAGCATCTAGGGGCAGGGACTGAACCACCACGTGGAACAAAGATTTCACTGTTGGGCTGAAGGTAGGGTGTAGTCATTGTGGTAAAGCTGCCTTGCAGGCTCAGCCCTCAGGGTCTTGACATGCCTGATAAACAGGGCAGCCACTTCTGAGGACATCTGAGTTACACACACTTTCCTGGGAAAGCCACTGAGTAGTGAAAGGACACGGTTTGGAAAGATCCAGGTGTGTTTATTAAGTGGGCTGAGGAGAGCTTCAGGCTCCCAACCCTATGGGGATTGAGGGCAAGGTAATACGGAAGATAGGACCAGGTTTTCTTGGTGAGACAGAAGCTTCCAGTCTCCATATTATACAGCTGTATCAGCATTGTGATTAGTATCTCATATACCAGAAGGTCACCTATTACTGAGGCAATATGCAGCAAAACTATATGTATATATAATTTTTCCCATTTCAAAAATATTCTTTCAACTTCCCCCCCCCAGATTTTTCATTTTATTTTTTTCTTCTTTTTTTATCATGTAATTATAAATTTTCATTACTTCCCTCTTTAAGAATAAGAGCTTTATTTTTGCTATTTTTTCTGCCCCTGTTATTCTTTTTTCCTCCAATTTTATACCTTAAGGTATTTGTTTGGTTGGTTTGGTTTCAGATACAGTATTTTTTTTTTCTTCTCTATTTTGTGAAGGTGGATTCTTGTATCTGTTCAGGCTGGCAAAGAGTTCCAGACCTCCAAGGACCCACTCACCCAGCCCCCAGAGGTTGGGATTTGTGGATATAGGTCAAATTACCCTACTGTATACCACTATTACTCCTCTCTCTCTCTCTTTCTGTTCCTCCTTCTTTTTGTCCCTTTTACTCCCCCTATTTCTTTTCTCTTTTCTCCTCTTTTTTTTTTTTTATCATTTATCCTTCAAGTTCTTCACTCTAACTTTTAGTCCTTTACCAAAAGGACATTTGACACCTCACGTCAGAGGTATGATAACTGAAAGACCAAGAGGAAGCAAGGGAAAGGAAAAAGCAGGGCAAGGAAACAGACAAAAAGAAAACACTCATGAGGAAGAAACAGCAGGAAAAGTCCATCACGAAAAAACAGACCAGAGCAACCCCCAAAGGATCATGAGGTAGCTACTGCAGAGGATTCCACTTATAAGGAAATATGAGAAATGACAGAAAAGGAATTTAAAGTATGGATGATAAAACAAGTAAATAAATTACAGAGAAAGTGGAAAATAACCAAAAGGAAATCTAAAAACAGAATCAAATAAGAGACCAACTATGAGAAGAATATAGGGGAGTTTAGGAATCTATCTTATAGAGGAGATATAGGGGAGTTTAAGGAATTGAAACAGTCAATCAGGGAACTTAAAGTTGCATTAGAAGGTATCAATAAGAGATTAGACAATACAAAAGAAAACATCTCAGAGGTAGAGGATAAAGCTCTTGAGCTAACACAGGCAGTTAAATAGATGGGAAAAAAAGAGATAAAAAGAAAAATGTTCATTAAGAGAATTATTGGACATCATGAAATGTTTAAACATATGAGTTGTAGGTATCTTAGAAGGGAAAGAAGAACACCCCAGAACAATGGAAGCCCTACTAGAGGATATCAGAACCGAAAAATTCCAGAGTATCACCAAAAGAT